CCCATGTTTGAAAGGATAAAGTAACACAGCACATTGCCATCCCCAAAAGGATTGCAACATCTTGGTTGTAACTGACTATGGAGTCAATTATGAATTATTGATTATTATTTACTTATTATTATTAATTATTAATTCATTAAATGGAAGAGCTGAAGTGTGGGGTGTGAGGAGTGACTTCTTGTGTCGACGTTGCTACTTTCGACCTTCGGAAGCAGAAATCAGCCAGGCTTTGGATGGGCAGGACACTCTCGCACTCTTTCTGTGAGTTGAGAAAATGTTTACAGATTATCCTGTGGTTGAAAAGGTGATGTTTACAAGCAGGATTATTTTGTGGGTCGAGAGAATGATGTTTACATGTAGGATTATTCTGTGGGTTGAGAAGATTATGTGTACATAAAGGATTATTATCATAAAAATCAGACCTTCAGTAGCAGTAAAACGCACCATATTAAACCAGGGGTGAGCCAGAACCCGATCGAGGTCAGGTCGCTTTGCAGGGTCATGAACCAGGAGATCGCGAGTGAGTTCGCAAGCCTCGTCTGTGACTGAGGCGAAGTGCTCGACAGGAAACCGCACTTCTCCTGAGAGGATGTTCCTGCAGGTCGCCTCAGGGGAGACACCGAGGAAGGGAGATCGACCGCTGCAAAAAGGGAGTGTGTTAGGTACCTTGCGTTCTCGTCTTCCAGTCATTGGCAAGTGATCTATTACTAAAGACATAACAAGAGGAACAGCAAGAAATTAAAAGTAATTGCTCCTTTATGGCTGCTTAAATCATCTTAGACTGATTTTTTTATTTTACCTGTTTCTGTTTTCAATTACTTGTCAATTAATCTATTTCTATGCTTTCACATTTATTTACTTTTGTTTGTTTATTCTTATTTTCGTTATATATATTATTTTATTTTTTATTTATTTATCTACCGTTTCATTTATTTGCTCTTTATTGCTTCAAAACATAATGTGATAATACTATTGATAATAATGATTATATCATCATTACCATTATAACCGGCATTTTTTCTTGCTGTATCTGTTATCTTGGGTTAGATAGAGAAAAGTTTATCTTAAGTATACGACCTAAGAGCAATGGATGGCACCTGCGCAAAGACAGTAGGGGAAGTCACAAGGTCACAAGGAAGTAAATTACGTAATTTTTGGTTTCACAGATTAGCAATTAGACGACTGTCAGAAATTGATTACTACATTGATTTAACACGAAGAGCAGATTTTTGGCTTTAAATTCTTCGGTATTCAGCATTTTTGTTTAAGAAGCCGAAGATAAAATATTTAGTAAATACACTATTTGTGAAGGAGGGAATGCCTTACTTCAAATCAGATTATAAATGAACGTCATATGGCTTAGTGGCTTAGCTGAACAACCACTTATTTTGAAAGAAGAGTGAAAAAGCTTAGCAAAGTTATGTTCACACGGAGAAAACAAAACAAGCTTTTCAAACCAGCACTGAAACAAAAGCCTACCTGACCAGAACGTAGATCAGCACGCCCAGGCTCCAGTAGTCCGCAGGGACACCAACGTTAAGCCTCCGCACCAGTTCAGGAGCCAAGAACTCGGGAGATCCTGCGAGCACGGGGGGGTGCTTCGGGGACACCACTCTCGGTCCTGTAGGAAAGCCCCATCGACTACTGCCCGGCTGAGGAGACACACGACGCGCGCTCCCGAGGTCGATAAGCCGGATGACGGGACGAAATGCTGGCTTGGCTACGGGGCTGGAGACCTTGGCTTGGGTTTTGACTCCGGGAATGGTTGGGGCGGAATCGGGCTGTGCTGGCTTGGATCCCGTTTTCAGATCGGGAATAGAGGGCTTGGCTTTTTCCTCTTCTCTGGGTTCGATGGGCTTAGTTTCAGAAACGGCTTGCTTATCTTCTGTGAGTGGCTTAGTTTCTATTCTTAGTGAGACTGACCTAACCTCTTTCACTGCTTCTGCTTCTATTTCTGGTGTAATCAGCTCAACTTTTGTCAGTTTAGGTGTGGTTGGTTTAGCTTCTACCTCAGGTGTAAGTGGCTTAGCTTCTGCCTCTACTGGCGCAAGTGGCTTAGCAACTGCTTCTTCAGGTGTAATTGGCTTAGCTACTACCTCTTCAGGTGTAAGTGGCTTAGCTACTACCTCTTCAGGCATAAGTGGCTTAGCTACTACCTCTTCAGGCGTAAGTGGCTTAGCTTCAGGCGTAAGTGCTTAGCTACCTCTTCAGTGCTTTAAGTGGCGTAAGTGGCTTAGCTACTACCTCTTCAGGCGTAAGTGGCTTAGCTACTGCCTCTTCAGGTGTAAGTGGCTTAGCTTCTGCTTCTTCAGGTGTAAGTGGCTTAGCTTCTGCCTCTACTGGCGCAAGTGGCTTAGCAACTGCTTCTTCAGGTGTAATTGGCTTAGCTACTACCTCTTCAGGTGTAAGTGGCTTAGCTACTACCTCTTCAGGCATAAGTGGCTTAGCTACTACCTCTTCAGGCGTAAGTGGCTTAGCTACTACCTCTTCAGGTGTAAGTGGCTTAAGCTTGCCTCTTCTGCTTAGCTTCTGCTTCTTCAGGTGTAAGTGCTTAGCTTACTGCTCTTCAGGTGTAAGTGGCTTAGGCTACCTCTTCAGGTGTAAGTGGCTTAGCTACTACCTCTTCAGGCGTAAGTGGCTTAGCTACTACCTCTTCAGGCGTAAGTGGCTTAGCTACTGCCTCTTCAGGTGTAAGTGGCTTAGCTTCAGAGTAAGTGGCTTAGCTTCTGCTTCTTCAGGAGTAAGTGGCTTAACCTCTGCTTCTTCAGTTGTAAGTGGCTTAGCTTCTGCTTTAGGTGTAAGTGGCTTAGCCTCTGCTTCTTCAGGTGTAAGTGGCTTAGCTATTACCTCTTCAGGCGTAAGTGGCTTAGCTACTGCCTCTTCAGGCGTAAGTGGCTTACCTACTGCCTCTTCAGGTGTAAGTGGCTTTAAGCCTCTTCAGGTGTAAGTGGCTTAGCTTCAGGAGTTGGCTTAGCTTCTGCTTAAGTGGCTTAGCTTTTACTTCTTCGGGTGTAAGTGGCTTAGCTCTAACTTCTTCCTTCAGTGGCTTAGCTTCTGCTTAGGTGTAATTGGCTTCCTTCTGCTTCTTCAGTGTAAGTGGCTTAGCTTTTTCTTCAGGTGTAAGTGGCTTAGCTCCAGTGTAAGTGGCTTAGCTTCTACTTCTTCAGGTGTAAGTGGCTTAATGCTTCTTCAGGTGTAAGTGCTTAGCAGGTGTAAGTGGCTTAGCCTCTGCTTCTTCAGGTGTAAGTGGCTTAGCTTCTATTTCTTCAGGTGTAAGTGGCTTAGCTTCTGCTTCTTCAGGTGTAAGTGGCTTAGCTTCTTTCTCAGGTGTAAGTGGCTTAGCTTCTGCTTCTTTAGTCAGGTGTAAGTGCTTAGCTTTCTTCAGGTGTAAGTGGCTTAGCTTCTCTTCTTCAGGTGTAAGTGGCTTAGCTTCTATTCTCAGGTGTAAGTGGCTTAGCTTCTATTTCTTCAGGGTAAGTGCTTAGCTATTCTTCAGGTGTAAGTGGCTTAGCTTCTGGTGTAATAGCTTCTTCAGGTGTAAGGGCTTTAGCTTCTGCTTCTTCAGTGTAAACTTTTTCTTCAGGTGTAAGTTAGCTTCTTCTTCAGGTGTAAGTGGCTTAGCTTCTGCTTCTTCAGGTGTAAGTGGCTTACTTCTACTTCTTCAGGTGTAAGTGGCTTAGGCTTCTTCTGTTTCTTCTCAGGTGTAAGTGGCTTAGCTTTTACTTCTTCAGGTGTAAGTGGCTTAGCTTCTACTTCTTCAGGTAAGTGCTTAGCTTCTTCTTCAGGTGTAAGTGGCTTAGCTTCTACTTCTTCTTGGCTTAGGCTTCTTCAGGTGTAAGTGCTTAGCTTTGCTTCTTCAGGTGTAAGTGGTTAGCTTCTCTTCTTCAGGTGTAAGTGGCTTAGCTTCTACTTCAGGTGTAAGTGGCTTAGCTACTGCCTCTTCAGGCGTAAGTGGCTTTGCTTTTCCTTCTTCCGGTGTAAGTGGCTTAGCTTCTGCTTCTTCAGGTGTAAGTGGCTTAGCTTCTATTTCTTCAGGCGTAAGTGGCTTAGCTTCTGCTTCTTCAGGTGTAAGTGGCTTAGTTTCTGCTTCTTCAGGTGTAAGTGGCTTAGCTTGTACTTCAGGTGTAAGTGGCTTAACTTCTACTTCTTCAGGTGTAAGTGGCTTAGCTTCTATTTCTTCAGGCGCAAGTGGCTTAGCTTCTATTTCTTCAGGAGTAAGTGGCTTAGCTTCTACTTCTTCAGGCGTAAGTGGCTTAGCTTCTGCTTCTTCAGGTGTAAGTGGCTTAGCTTCTACTTCAAGTGTAAGTGGCTTAGCTTCTATTTCTTCAGGCGTAAGTGGCTTAGTTCTTACTTCTTCAGGTGTAAGTGGCTTAGCTTCTACTTCAGGTGTAAGTGGCTTAGCTTCTACTTCTTCAGGTGTAAGTGGCTTAGCTTCTACTTTCTCTGTNATATGAGCACGAGAGAAAGATGAGCGAGGCAAGTAGCAGAAGACGAGAGAGAGAGAAGAGAGAAGAGAGGAGAAGAGAGAGAGAGAGAGAGAGAGAGAGAGAAGAGAGAGCAGCAGATGAAGAGAGAAAGGCAAAGAGGAGACGACGAGAGCAGAGAAGAAGAGAGAGAAGAGAGAGAGGACGAACGAAGATAGAGAGAAGAGAGGATGAGAGGAGAGAGAGAGAGAGAGAGAGAGAGAGAGAGAGATGGCAGAGGAGAGAAGAAGAGAAGAAGAGAGAGAGAGAGAGAAGAGAGAGAGAGAGAGAGAAAAGAGAGAGAGAGAGAGAGCAGAGGAGAGAGAAGAGAGAGAGAGAGAGAGAGAGAGAGAGAGAGAGGAGAGAAAAGAGAAGAGAGAGATGAGCAGAAGAGAGAAAGAGAGAGAGAGAGAGAGAGAGACGAGAGCAGAGCAGACGAGAGAAGCAGAGAGAGAGAGAAGAGAGAGAGAGCAGAGAGAGAGAGAGAGAGAGAGAAGAGAAAGATATATATATATATACTATATAATATATAATATTTATATATATAATATACTATAGACGAGAGAGACGAGAGACGAGAGAGACAGAGAGAGAGAGAGAGAGATAGACGAGAGAGGAGAAAGAAGAGAGAGAAAAGAGAAGAGAAAGAGAGGAAGAAAGAAAGAAGAAGAAAGAGAGAGAGAGAGAAGAGAGAGAGAGAGAGGAGAGAGCAAGAGAGAGAAGAGAGAGAGAGAGAGAGGAGAAGAGAAGAGAGAGAGAGAGAGAGAGAGAGAGAGAGAGAGAAAGAGAGGGAAAGAGAAGAGAGAGAGAAAGAAGAGAGAGAGAGAGGGAGAGAGAGAGAAGAGAGAGAGAGAAGACGAGAGAGAGAGGAGAGAGAGAGAGGAGAGAGAGGAGAGAGAAGAGAGAGAGACGAGAAGGAGAGAGAGAGAAGGAGAGAAAGAGAAAGAAGAGAGAGAGAGAGAGAGAGAAGGAGAGAGAAGAGAGAGAGAGAGAGAGAGAAGAGAGAGAGAAGAGAGAGAGAGAGAAGAGAGAGAGAGAGAAGAGAGAAGAAGGAAGAGAGAGAGAGAGAGAGAGAGAGGAGAGAGAGAGAAGAGAGAGAGAGAGAGGAGAGAGAGAGAGAGGAAGAGAGAGAGAGAGAGAGAGAGAGAGAGAAGAGAAAGAGAGAAAGATAGAAAATAGAGACGATCTTCAAAGGATTTCTTTTGTACAATATAAGATACCAACATGAGACTGTAATGGAAATGCACGTTGCCATGATGGCTTGTAAGTTACCATGAGTGCAGAAAAAAATAAATCCTACTTACAGAGGCACGGATAGACATAACACACACCACACACGAGACACAAAAACACAACACACACACCAAACCCGGAATTAGCACACACACACCACACACAACACACAAACTCACACACACACACACAGAACCACATTTACAACCCACCACACATGACCAAACTCCAAATCAGAGCGAACAAACCACCAGCACAAGTACCTAAAGGAGCCTTAAAAGGAGCCTTTTGGATTTTCCCATTAGAATCTCCTTAAGACAAGTCGCTGTAGAGAAGTCCCTCGATTCAATCTGTCTTCTTCGGATGCTGATGGATCTCCTACGAAAACAAAGATGGAATAGAGGGATAGGAAGAAGGGGAGAGGGGAGGAAGGGAGGGAATGAGGGAGAGGAGGAAGGGAGGGAATGAGGGAGAAGAGGGTGGGAGAGAAGTAAGGGAGGGAGGGAGGAGGGATTGAGAGAGAGAGAGAGAGGAGAGAAGAGAGAGAGAGAGAGAGAGAGAGAGAGAGATTCTGCCAGCGCTTCCACATATGTGCTTTGACATGCAAATAGTCAGCCTATACTGTTTGAATCATCCCTATTGTGTTTAGATTAATAGCCAGTAGTACGGTGGCTTTTACCCTGCGTGAAAATATGAATGAGTGGACGTTGTGTCATGATGATATTTTGGACTCTCAACCATTTTGTTTTTGCATTGCCTAAAGCTACCCTTAACACTTTTTTTTTTAAATAAGCTTTATTTATTATTATTACTATTTATTTATTTATTTATTATTATTATTTATATAATATTATTATTACTATTTATTTATCATTATTACTACTATCAATCTTATCATTGTCATTACTATTACTATTATTTTTATCATTATTGTTATTATCATTATCATGATTTTTATTATTACTTTTATTATTACTATTACTATTACCATTGATATCCTTATCATTACCGTTATCATTACTATTATTATCATCATTATCATAATTATTACTAATATTATCATTATCATTATTATTGTTGGCAATTATCATCAATATTACTATCGTTATTATCATTATCATCATCCTTGCTGTTGTTGTTGTTGCTACCATTATCATTATGACAATTGTTATTATTATCATTACCGTTAATACTATACTATATATTATTACTATTATTATCATTAACATCATCATCATCGTTATCACGCTTATCATTATAGCCATTATCGTCACTGTTAGTAGTAATATTTTTGTTATCTTCATTACTCTCCTTGTCGTTTTCCACTTATCATTGTTAATGCAATTGCTACTAATATTATCGTTATTATAGTATTAGTAGCAGTAGTAGTTTTGCAATTATCTTCGTTATCATTGCATTCGTCATCATCATTATCAATCATCATCATAGCCATTATCATTATCATATTGTTATCATGATTGTTATTATTACTGTTATTACTATTGTTATCAGTATAGTAGAACTATTACCATCAGTATGTTTATTACTGTCATCATTATAGTAAAAACAATTATCATCAATAAGTAAATTACTATCTGAATATCCTGGTCATTATCATTTTATCATTGTTATCACTGTGATTCTCATTATCATCGATATCGTTACTAAACTGAACATCATCACCAATTATCATGAAACACAATTTTGATCTCCCAAAAATATTCTGATGTCCCATAATTGGCACACCATTAAAAAAAGAAAGAAAGAAAAAAACTTTTACGACCATTAATAAACAGATTTTGAA